TATAAATAATAATATATTTATAAGAATTTTGTTTAAAATGTGCCTCATTTGTATCCGCGAAATTCACTTTTTTGTCGATATGACTTTGCTACGGTTATAATATGATTTCTGTCTTATTTTCCTACAGTCATTATCCAAGTGAGCAACAAGTGAGGCATAGTATGTGAGAGATTGTATTTATTGAGAGAAATAACATCACTCGTATATAACGAACTAGTCAACCACAGGCAATTAACACTATTTATATTTCTTAAACTTTTTTTTGTACATTATAAAATAAATTTACTTACCAGAGTGAGCAGAAAACATCCCTAAAATAAGTAGATCAAATTCGAACCCTGTAAATTTTAATATTAGTAACATGTACCTACATTATAAAAATCTGTAAGTGTTAATATTTATACATTATGTAATAATACATGTATATGCTACGTTGTACAGGTGACAAGATAGTATGTGTAAAATTATTTAAACAGATTCTTAAACTTCTATCATGATATTTATTAGTAAATTTTTATATGCATGTAACAATGATCGGCACGATTCATATACGTTATGTATAATGAATATTGTTCTCGTAAATATATAATTTCCAATACACAATGTTAAAATTTATTAACTGTAATGGTCATGTCCAACACCTATTGTTCATGAATATATCATTCTATAATAATAACGAGGTGGACATCTCGGTTTGCATTTGTAAAGCTTTTCAAGTTTTTTCCTAGTCCGATTTTAATAGCAAATATTTGATATTCAAAAGCTGCGATACGTTATATTATAATTAGTCAGGCTTATTATCTCGTGCATAAATATCGTGTCTTTGAACCTCGTAGTTTATACGTTGTTTCGCCTAGTAACAATACAGTTCATGACACTCGCGTAAAGCTTTGAATTTGTTCGTGATTAATACCCGCCTATTATCTGGTAAGTGAGTATATTGTAAAACATACTTTGTCAAGCTGTTTGCATAAGTAACATAGTACGATTAGATATATAGTAATCGATATTAATTTTTGTAGAAACAATTGTAAATAGGCCTTTGATAAAAGGGTTTTAAATTCCTCACATTTCAGTTGATTTGTATCTCATAAGTAAATATTTTCAGCATGAGAAAAGTAAGCAAACTATAGCTATAGGCTATATATTCTATTCCTGCTTTGTTCTTAGCTCTTTCTGGAATATCTGTACGAATTAGATTATAAATATAACTGTAACAAATTAAACCGCAATTTTGTCGGATATATTATGCAAAACTAAGAAACCTGTCCTAAATTAACCCTAACTTTCCTGGAAGTAATATTGAGAATTATTTTAAGATGTACTTGACCATAAAGGATCGTTAGTGCATACGGTATTGGTACAACCTAATATAAATAATTTTGTGTCGTCTTTTGTAAAAATTGCACTTTATGGAAAACTGAGTGTTGTACTGTCTGAACTTATTCATATTACACAACAAGAAGTTATATTCTTACAAATTTCTTAGAAAACCAAACAAGTGAAGTTGCCATAATTTTCAATCAAATCATTGTAACTTTCTTTACTTTGGAAGCATACAGCTTGGACTACTAATAAACGTACAAGGACACCTAATAAAACTCAGTGCAATAATAAATGATTATTAAGTAAGAAATTCAAAATGAAAACAAAAGTTAAAATAATTTTAAGATAAGATATGTCCATCTAAAATTCAGTATTATAGTTTTACCAAGTAATAGGACAAAAAACATTCTCAATACTGAAAATTTATTACTCCTAGCACATGGTTAGATCTGTGCTTAAAAATAACAGATAAAATACAGTATAAACAATGTAAAATATCAGCATAAGAAATTAAAAAATTGATATTATCTACTGATATGAAGAAGGGTGAAAGTTCATTATCTTCTAGTCAGACCTATCAAAAATCTGATGGTGAAAACATGCTTGATTGCAATATAAAATATTTCTATAAAAGTATCGCTTATACTTCATTTATACTGTTCGTTCAATATTTTTTCTGCAGAGCAGAAATATTATCTTGGCAGTACGTTCACTCAGCCTTAGAAGTGTGATAAATATAACTTTTATAAAATACCCCTTTTGGTAGAAAACCAAGGATGTCAAAGAAATATAAAATGTCCCACTATCATATGGGTCTATTTCACACCTACTCTTCTTTCTCTTGGTCACCAGATTTTTCTTCATTTTTATCAACATTCTCTTCTGTGGGTTCTGCATCTTCTTCAGTTTTTGTTCCACCATCATGTTCTATAGATTTAGGTTCGTCTGACTGTTCATTTTCACTTGGTAAAGTTGTCCTTTCTTCAACACTAAAGTGATAAGGAAAAAAAAAAGGAAGTATTTCAATTATCAAATATAAAATTTTTATTTTTAAAATGGTTAGTTATATAGGAGAATAAAGTCAAATGTTTTCAGTTATATATACTCATAGTTACAACAATTATCTAATTTAAATGACCGATAACAAAATTATGCAATCAGTGTCTCTATAGTGCTTACCTTTCTGCTTCTACTGCAACTGCATCTTTGTCTGTGGAAGGCTAAAATAAACATGTAGTAGTTAGTGTGAACAGGGTACAAATTTAGTGCCAAGGACAAAACACCGGCAAATAAACTAAGACAATTGCAGATCAAATTTAAAAGTAATGTTAAAATGTATACACATATAAATTAAATAACATAGGTACATTTAACATTTTCCATAGGGTTGCTGAATGAAGTTCCATTAATGACACTTACCTCTCGACTTGTGGTATTTCCATTTTCTTGAATTTCCTTAGTTTGATTTGAATCAGTAGCATTTTCTGTTGCACTAGCTGGAGGTGCCACTTTCAAAAAGTCTTCCAATTCATCTATTTCATTTGCCAAATCGAAATCTTCATAATCCTGTAGGATGATTCATTATAAGCATTTATAGTTCAAGCATGACATTTACAGACTTCATACTCAGAGTTCTAGAAGCTTGTACAAAATGTGCAAAAATAAGATATCTTTCTAAAATTATTTATTCAAACAATCACTGTCATTTATTATAACTTAAATTATTAAATGCTGTAACTCATATAATGACAATTACCCCGCAATATTCATCTTCATTAAATATTTGTGGAGGTAATGGATATTTGCTATCTCTTGCAATACTATTAGATTGCATAAATTCTTTATCCATTTCCTTCCCTGGTTCTGTTATGTCAATAGTTTCATATTCCACATTTTTACTATCTAATATCATCAACACACGTTGTTGCCTCTTTTTCACCTAGAAAGGTATAATGAAACATGAAGCGTATGCACTTTGCTCGCATATTGTCTCAATTTCACACAATAGTAAATTTCAAAACTTGACGATTAAATTTTAACTGTTTCACGATCTGTTGCAACGCGAGGCAATGTATCGATTCGGACAAAACGTACGCCGTTATGATCTTATCAGTGACTGTTCATGCTAAAACCTAACGGTACTAAAAACGGTGCTGAAAAACATATACGAATCGGCATGGAACGAGATCGTATCAAAAAATCGAACAAAAAGTCAATGATGCGCACGATCTTGCAGCAAGTTCTTAATTGCAAAGAACATAAACACTAATCGAAAAGTTCCACTACCTAAAACTTGCGGCTCTATCTCCCACGAGTATTTTTTCATTCGCATTCGATGCTTCACGCAACACATTTCATGTTCGGTTTCACGCAAAACGTGTCATTCACTCGAGACCATTCTGTTAATGACCAAGTCTAACATACGTTTTCCTAATATCGAATGCATTCACTCAGAGGAGAACTGCATATCGATGGACGCGTACGAATCGTTTCGACCGATAAACCGTGTGGCGTGTCATTCGATAAGGATCCTCGGTCGGTGGCAGTGCTGATTATTAATCGACGCGTCGACTGTGAAGTTTTCTAAATGTAACCCGATACAACACAGACGTGAAATATCGTAAGAATTCGGGTGCCCGGTAAATCTGGCATTCTCTTCGAGTCACACACATTCACAAAACGCGTACAGCACGCGCATACGAACACACGCACACAGATTCTCTCTTTCTCTCTCGCAGTTTACTCTCGGACAAAATATATCTTTATATTCTTTGGTCGCTGCGGGTGTTTCGCACTCACTTCCTTGTTGCCGCTGATACCCGATATGTAGATTTTGACGACCATTGTTAGCCGGCGCTTTCGTATCAATTGACACTCTCGCACTTCTTTGTCGGTGTGCGCGACGATTAGCGGTTTCGCGGAGTGATAAGCGATCAGTGAATCACTATAAGCTATTAGTCAGGAGATCGCTGACGGTGAGCAACACTGATTTAACGCGCACGGGCCTGGCTAGTCTGGGATCCACTGGCTACGTCATTTCAGGCCGGTTTTCGAGCGTTCTCATGCGCGTCTCCACGGCGGATTCTTTTTTCCTGTGGCCACAATCGAACTGCAATCCTGTCGTCAACGTACACCTCATCGAAATCTAACGGTGCAGTATTGAGGTCAACTGCGCGACTACCTGCCCGTGAAAATTTTTTGACCAGACAAGATTGCATACCCGCCGTGCCCGTGCGTTCCCGCGTTGGCAGATTTTAACATAAATGCGGTTTTCCATTTGGTTTTCAGCCTGGATTTAGATGTTCCACGATAATAGCAGAAATGATCATGGCAACGTGCGGTTCGTGTTTATTTAGATGATACGCGGGAGAACGTATTCGTTTATTTTCTCTAATGCGCAATTTAAATTCGAGCTTTTCGTAAATGCGCCATTGCGCTATCACTTCCGGTGGCTGGGGCGCGCAGTGAGGATCGGACTTTAAAGCCTCTCTCTCCTTTTCCGGTTCTTTTGGAACGTATCTTATAATTGTGCAAAATGGTAAGAATTGTTATTGAAAAATATTTCGTGAATCTTGTTGAAATATTTATAAAATTCATGGTGTTGTGTTGAATAAGATCAT